TCTGTGGAACTATTATATATATAATTTATAGGCTATGATCAGCATTTATTGTTTTCGTACTTGTTGAAATAAAAGAAGAGATTGACAAGTTTTACAACAAAATTTGAAACCACATTTTAGTCCAACAAAGAGAAAATAGGCAGAAAATAATATTGTCAGCACAATAATAGAATTAGCAGTGAATGTTTGATTTGCAAGATCAAGTTAACTAACACCTTCATACTAAACGTAAACGTGTAGGTACTTGGAGAACCCAATTCCAAAGGAACGGAGGCTCTGGATAAAGCTACTTGATCATTGGCAGAGTCGTTTGAATCCTTCAAATATCAACTGTGACATCCCAGTCTGATGTATTAGTTGCTGTTTTATTTTCTAACCCAAAAATTAACCCCGATAAATATTGACTCTCAGTAAAGCTACGCAGCCATTTGTCCATCCATCCATCCATTTTCTGATCCGCTTATCCTCAAGGGTCGCAGGGCATGCTGTAGCCTATCCTAGCTGTCTTCGAGCAGTAGGCGGGGGACACCCTGAACCTGTTGCCAGCCAGTCGCAGGGCACACAGAGACGAACCCTGCACCTCTGCACTGTGAGGCCGACGTGCTAACCAGTTGCCCGCGGCCATTTGTATTGTCCGCATTTTAATTTATTAAAAAAACAAACAAGCGTGTTTTTCTCTCACATTTCAAAAAGCATGCATTCTAAGCTTGCTGTGTGTCCCACAGGCAGCAAAAAGTGACTCAAGTAGACCATTGCAAAAAAAAAAAAAAAAAATTCTATTCAGTGACTGTTCGCCCACACACAGCGATTGTTCACTGTACACTGACCGACATGCTCCAATGGAAAAACTGCAACCTTTTGTTGGGTGTTGATGCTGCACATATAATAAACAGTACTTTGTTGTTGTTCTTTATTGAACCACAAAAACATGGCACGATTGTCAAGGATAAAGAACGAGTTGCTCAAGCCCACACAGTGCTCAACAGTTCTGTTCCTTTGGGCAGTGTCACATGGTGTGCTTCAGGGTCATTTAAGACTAAATCGTCCGTAGCTGTGCATTGTTGGTTGTCCGTATGAGTACGTACTGACTTTGACAGTAGACCATGCGGTTGGACCCCATTGCTATTGCCAAACATGAGCTTGGATGGGCACCAGTTCACTGTCTACTCTAATTATGATAAGCGCGACAGAAAATGGATGGCTGGATGGATGTGCCCTGTGACTGATGAGCAACCTATCCAGGTTGAAGCCCACTTCTACTGCTGGGATAGTCTCCAGTTCACCTAATGAGGTAAAAGCTATGCAAAATAAAACAGGATAGGTGGAGTTCTCCAAGGACCTGCCGACAGTTGTAGCTCAAAGTTTGTCTGACTCAGCAACGGTAGCTAAGGGGTGAAACATCAAGTTCACATTATAACCAGTTGCAATAAACTACATCCTGTGTGCTCTGCAAAAAGTTTTGACATACAATACATCATTGGATGAGACATTATTATTGACACTGGCGGCGTTTCTAGCGAGTGTCGAGCGCAACAAGCTAATCGGACGGAGCAGGATTTATGGATTCCCCTTTACGGCCCGTAAAAACCAAAGTGCTACTCATTAACCCGTGAGAAAACTTTGCTCCCATTGGCCACACCTCTAGTCATATGACCGCAGTAGGATTTAAAAAGGTGTCGCAGACCTGGAGGAGCAAGCAGACTCTGCGAAGATCAGCATCGCAACAATGAAGGTCGCACTCGCTTGCATCGCTCTCCTGGTTCTAGTCGTGGGCCGCAGCACCGAGGCTGTGCAGGTGGAGGTAAGTAAGATGCCGAGGTTGATCGACATCCTCAGGAGGTAGCAGGACCTCAAAGTTCTTCCTGTCTATCCCCTTAAAGGAGAACGGCTTGTCCTTCTCCCTGGAGGCCGTCAAGAGACTCCAGGAGATGTTCGAGAGCGTCAGGACACCCCTGCAGAATCCGCGGCTGCGGGCCAGTTCCCCGTCCATGTGCGAGGATCCCATGCTGCCCCAGGAGCTGCTGCCCCTGTGCAAGCAGAAGGGGGCGTCGGCGTCACTCGCCAGACTCGGTGAGGATCCTCGTCACTTCTCCTTACATCTCTAACACGAGATGAGCAAAAAACTTCATTTATGTTCAGTTGTTCAATTTAAAAAGTGACACTAGTGTTTTTTACAGATTCATTAAACAGGATTTCGATAATAAAAATCATTATGATATTTTCTAGTGTAATATGCAAATTTGATGACAACGAAATTGGGGTTTTCGTTGCCGGTAAGTCGTCGCCATCAAAATTATTCGCGCATTTTGGACAGCACTTGACCTCATTAGAGCCCTAGCCTACCCCAGCTGAATTTCTCGACCCTGGGATGGTTGCTGGCCAATCACAGGGCAGATTCAGCAGATCCACATTTACACTCACATTCAAACCTGATGACAGGTTCAAACCTATCGTTAACCGAAGCAAATTTTTGGCAAGAGAAGCAGACCCCGCCCCCGACCCCCACCCTCTCGCCTGATTGCTTCCCTGGCAATCACATATCATCTAACAAGCATTCACATTCACAAGCATGAACAACTTAAGAGTCTTCAATGTCAGCTAACTTTTGATGAGAGAAGCAGAATCCACCCTGGACTGCTTGCCAGCCAATTGAATAAGGCCGTACTGCTCAAATACTTGATGTTCTAACAATTTCACGTCTCCGATGAACCTAACATGCATGATTTTGGAATGTTCAGAATGCAGAACTGCGAGGCAGGTGTGCCAACCATGAGTTAACCATGCTACCTCATCAAAATTATAAACAATTCTAATCATAAAATATCTTAGTATGATATAAATCTTATATGAGAGTCACTTTGTGAATTGAAGTACAAAAATGAATTACCTTTTCGACTACATCTTATACCTATAGATTCTAACGTACTGTAGACGCTAACACCAATGCAAACCATTTTCCTTTGTTGCAGCTATGGTGCCGTTGGACGTCTGCGAGATCTGTGCCTTTGCTGCCTGCAGCGGCTGCTAAGCCGACACCGCAAACGCGCTTGGTTTTCTTATTTGTATTTGTCTTCATTTCTTTTATTTAAAAAAAACATACACCATTTCTTAAAAAAAAAGAAAAAAGGCCAAAAGAAGAACAGGAATCAAAAAGGAGTTGCTAAGTGCCAGCTGTTACTTAAAAAAAAGGGGAAAAAAAGCATTTGCCACCTTGTTTTGTCATTGGTTTTATGTTTGAAATTGTTTTTGTTACATTTCTGTCTTACCATACTTTGTGTACCTATTTAAACATCTACTTCTATATTATTGTTTGGAATAAAAATGTGTGCAAGTCACATACGCTTGTGTGTTTGTGTTTGTGGGTGTGCGTGTGCGTGTGTGTGTGTGTGCGCGCGCGCGCGCGCGTGTGTGTGTGTGTGTGTGTG